GTAAAGGAATAAAAGAATTAAAAAGAAACAAATAGAAATAAAAATAAAAATAAAATTGGAATTAAAATTAAAAAAATTAAAAAACAAAAGGCACATAATATAAAGTTAGACAAAGGGAAATAAAAAGAAATACAAAGAAATACAAAGCAATAAAATAAAAGGAATTAAAAATAACTAAAAATAATTAAAAGGAAATAAAAGAAACAAAAGGAAATAAAAAGAGAAAAAGAAATAAAAGAAATAAAAAGAAAGAAAAAGAAATAAAAGAAATAAAAGAAAAATGAAGTGAAAAGAAATAAAAAGAAAAATAAGACAGCAAAGAAGAGACAAAGAAAGCAAAAAGCCAGAGACACAGAAACCACCTGCGGGGCAAGAGGGCCCTTAGGGTTTAGGGTTTAGGGTTTAGGGTTTACCTCGTGGAAGGCAGTGACAGTTTTCTCTTCAAGTTGCAAAGACGCGGAACTTCTTTTGTTTCCAACTTTGAGTCTGTCGAAACTGTCTTCAATTTCAGCATTTGTCACCTAAACCACAAACCCTAAACCCTAAACCCTAAACCCTAAACGCTAGATCCCTAGTTGCAACTTATTATTCACCTGAGCCACAGACCACGAACCCTGAAGCCTAAACCCTAAACCTCGCATTTTTTCATGCACCCGAGCCACAAACCTGAAGCCGTAAACCCTAAACCCTAAACCCTAAACCCCAAACCCTTGCTGCAGAGTACAGGGAGTCCATATGAGCCGGTCGGAAACAGCGGGACAGAGCAGGAGAGAAACCCGAAACCCTAAACCCTAAACCCCAAACCCTAAACCCTAAACCCTAAACCCTAAACCCCAAACCCCGACGCAGCTCGGGGCCGTCCCGGGAGCAGGCACAAGCAAGGCGCGTCAAAGTGAAACCCTAGCCCCTAGCCGCAAGCCCGTACCCCCAAGCCCCAAACCCTAAACCCTAAACCCTAAAAGGTGGTTTACCTCTTTTTTGCCGCTGCTGGCCGCTCGAATGGCGGCCAAGTTCAAAAGGTTTGCAACTTCAGCTCCAGTCAGTCCCGAAGTTAAAGAAGCATAAAGAGTCAAGTCCACTTCTGGGGAAAGCTGCACGCGAGAGGCGTAGTACTCCAGCATCTGCAGCAAACCCTAAACCCTAAACCCTAAACCCTAAACCCTAAACCCTGGCGGGAACCCCGGCGCCTCCGTCCCCACGCTGCGCGGGGGTCTCGGCGTGAAACGCCGCGCCGCAGGCGCCGGTCGGTGGCAACAGCGCTGCAGCAAACAGCAACTAGGGTTTAGGGTTTAGGGTTTGTACTTCGAGCCTTTCTTTGAGAGAAGGCAAAGGGACAAAAATGGTTTTGTCCACTCTCCCTGGCCGCAGCAGCGCGGAGTCAATGGACCCCAGCAAGTTTGTTGCGCAAATCAAGACAATGCCTTCCGTCTGCGCAGCAGCAGCAGCAGCAGCAGCAGCAGCAGCGGGGTGTGCGGCAGTAGCAGCTGAGGCTGCAGCAAGCAACTGCAGCAGAGCGGCGCTGCACTAAGGGGTGAGAGAAGCAGCAAATGTAAAACGAGCGGACAGCAGCAGCAGCTGCTGCTGCTGGAGCAGCAGGAGCTGCAGCAGAAGGCTCCACAGAGAGCAGCTGCAGCAGCAGCGGCAATTGACTCGAACCAGCAGCAGCAGCAGCAGCAACGCCGCCAGCAGCTTCATTAGCCACAAAGCCGAAAAAGAGGCAGCAGCAGCATAAGCAAAAGAGGCACTCAAAGCCGCCGCCGCAGCAGCTATAGCAGCAGCTGCAGCAGCCCGTTGCTGCAACAGCAGCAGCAGCCGCATA